TGAGAGTTCTGTCTATTTACATAAAAACTGTTTGCATGCATAAACCCTAAACCCTAAAAACTAAAAAAAAGAAAAAGAAAAGAAATATGGAGAAGAGGATAGGATGCTGTTTGTCTGCGTTTATATCTCTGTATAAATAGATAAATAAAATAAAATAAAATAAATAAAATAAAATAAAATAAATAAAATAAAGTAAATGAATAAAACACATAAACAGATAAACAAAGAAACCCCAAAGCGAACAAAACAAACCAAAAAAAAAACAAAAAAAAACAGAAAAAAAAACAAAAAAAAAGAGAAGCAAGCATGTACACAAACAAACAAAAAAATAAACAAATAAAAAAATAAATAAACAAACAAATACATAAATGTTTTTTTCTGTTTTTTATTTTTTTTTTTTGTTTAGGATTTTAAAAAGAAAAACAGCAGAAGGAGAAGTAGGAGGAAGGGCAGTGAACGATGGAGATATACTCCAGGTATACACACGCTTATTTTTTTTATTTATTTTATTTTATTTTTATTTTGTTTTGTTTTGCTTTTTTGTTTTATTTTATTTCGTTTTATTTTATTTTGTTTTGTTTTATTTTATTTTATTTTATTCTGTTTTATTTTTATTTTATTTCATTTATTTTATTTTTTTATTTAATTTTAGTTAATTTAATTTAATTTAATTTAATTTTATTTAATTAATTAATTCATATTTTATATTATATATATTTATATTATATATATTTCAAATATATAAATATTATTTTTATTTTTATTTTTATTGTGGTGGTTGCGGTTGTTATATACCTGCGTATACACCTCAGCATACACCCCAAAATAAACAAAAATAAATATTTTAAAGAAGCTGCATATACACCTGAATATAAATTTTAATATAAACAAAAATATAAAAAAAAATAATTAAAAAATACAACTCAATAAACACTTATTATAGACCTGCCTATACACCTGAAAATATATATATTTGGGGTGTATGCGCAGCTCGTATATCGACGAAACTTTACTCTTTTTTTTTCGTTTTTTTTTGTTTTTTTTTATTTTTTTTTAAATAAATAAATATTATTATATATATTTAATTTATTTTACTTTTTATGCAGGTAAACAATGATTTTCATTGCCCTTATACGAACATTAGGGTCCCCCTTCTTAGTTTTTCTTCTTCTGCTGCTCTGCAGCTAGAAAGACAAGCAGGAGCTGATGTACCCGCCAGCATAGAACAGGATAGAAACCTTTTGTAAGTTTAAATAAATAAATAAATAAATAAAATAAATAAATAAATAAATAAAATAAATAAATAAATAAATAAATAAATTAATTAATTAATTAATTAATAAATAAATAAATTAATAAATAAATAAATAAATAAAGTAAATAAATAAAATAAATAAATAAATGGTTAAGGATAAGGAATTTAATTGAATCAATAGTTGGGTTTATCTCTGTATTTTTAACATCTCATAAATACAACTAAAAAAAAAAAATTAAAAAAAAAAAAAAAAAAAAAAAAAAAAAAAAAAAAAAAAAAAAAAAAAAAAAAAAAAAAAAAAAAAAAAAAACCAAAAGTAAAAATAAAAACAAAAAAAATAAAAATAAAACTAAAAATAAATAACTTTTTGTTTACAGAGTGGAGGCGGCGATAGTGCGTGTGCTGAAGACAAAGCAGCAGATGCTGCATGCAGACTTAGTAGCTGAGGTGTCTATACACCTGGCCCCTCGTTTCTCTCCTTCTCCTTCTTTAATTAAAAACAGAATAGAAGTATTAATAGAAAGAGAATATATACAAAGAGGAACAGATGATATGTAAGCAGCAGCAACAGCAGAATGCATGCATGCATGCATGCATGCAGCTGCTGCTGCTGTCTTTTTTTTTCTTTTTTTTCTTTCTTTTTCTATGTTTATTTCTGTCTTTCTCTCTGTCTTTCTCTGTATTTATCTATCTCTCTCTGTCTCTCTTTCTCTCTTTCTCTCTTTCTCTCTTTCTCTCTGTCTCTCTGCCTCTCTCTCTGGCTCTCTTTCTCTCTGTCTCTTTCTTTCTCTCTTTTTCTCTGTCTCTCTTTCTCTGTCTCCGCATCTTTGTCTGTCTCTCTGTCTCTCTCCCTTTCTCTTCGTTTCTTCTGTGTTTCTCTGTCTCCCTCTTTCTCTCTTTCTCTGTCTCTTCTCTGTTTCTCTGTCTCTCTCTGTCTTTGTCTTTTCATGTTTCTCTGTCTCTCTTTCTTTGTCTCTTCCGTGTTTCTTTATCTATCTCTTTCTCTGTCTCTTTTATGTTTCTCTGTCTCTTTCTTTCTTTCTCTCTTTCTCTTTCCTCCTCTCTCCGTCTCTCTCTCTCTCTCTCTCTCTCTCTCTCTCTCTCTCTCT